AATTTGTTCTATTTTAAGTACCTATTGCCAATTCTATTTTTTAATGTATCATATTTGCTTTTCCTCGTTTTTCTTATGAAATCAGAATCTCTTTAGATCTTATAATGTGCTGCTACATTCTTACATTTTTTACAAATTGAGAAAGTGATATTAGAATGAAATTAAATCTAATCAGCTCCATATATCACCTCTTTCGCCGAAGAGATTAGAACTTTGTTCAGTTGGTCTTTACCTGCTTCTTTTTGTTCCCTCCACCAATGTGTGCTATTTCAAAATCTTTTTATTTAGTGGGGAGAGGCAGCTATAAGGCAAAAAAACATCAATACCATTGATTCTTCATTGTTTTTAATTTATAAATTGGTTTTGTGACTTGTTCAATAGCGGAAATGTCACAAAGAGTCATGTCTGTTGTTCATGTCAGCTAAAACCTATCTGCTCTCTGTGTTATTCGTCTTCTCCACAAAACATCAATTCAGAAGAGTCCTGAATGCTGTCATTACTGTCCATCAATCTTAATAGTGATGTTTGTGTTCCTTGCTTTTATATGTCTTTTTCTTCATTCACTGAGTCCATAAGAATCAAAGATGAAAAAGGGGTTGCTTACGCTATAAATTTCCAATTTATAAGTCTTGTTTCTCTGTGTCTATAGAAACTGCCATCTTCATCCATTCCTGGCTATTTCAGGATTGGCTTCTTATCAGCTGCCTTCCTCCCACGTTTGCCTTTCCTGCTGGCTTGGGATCCAAGTCTACACTTCAGACTATATTTGTCAAGAAAATTCCTTCAGACAGACGAGTGGCAAGCAAAGCACACTATATGCAGGACCAAGATGCACACAATTGTGTCTACCTTTCAAGGAGCCTGACTCCACATTCCCTACTCACCAATGTAAATGTTTTCTTTTCAGCTATCATCTCTCCTGCACTTAGGTTGTTTAATTACAGCATGAAAACATTAGGCATATGTTCAGTTTACAGTTATTATCAGTGTCATTTCTTGTTTGGTTTATGTTTCATACAGGTTCTTTTTTTAAAAAAATCACTATTCTGTTTTGACGTTCCAGGTTCTGCATGTTTTGTTCTAGGCTCTTGCTGGTGCTCTGTGGGTGTTTGGACTCCGGTTATCCTCTAGACTAAATACCTCATTATTTGCCTACTCTATCTGTCATATTGTTCAATACTGCACTGCTTCAGGTGCAGTACTTAAATGTTCTGGCCTTCAGAGTCAGAGAGCGCTATTTTGACTAATTATAAGAATCTTTCAAGTGGCATGAAAGATTTATGCTATTCATACTCTTCCTATTCTGCTATGTTGCCACATTCCTTTGTACCTTTCTTAGTAAGTGCTAAACAGTAGTTATTGATTAAGAACTTTTGCTTCAACATCTTTCAGTTATTTCTCCACTGTCAGCATGGTCCCAATGTGTAGGAAAGTACTTGGCTGACCTGCTGTTATCTTAAAGGTTTCTGAAACACCCAGAATTTCTAGCTCTGAGCAACTCTATGAACCTACAGGGCATATATATGAGACCAGCATTCGTAGAAATAGTAGGCTTGACTCAGGCTTACTGTCATTAGATTAAAGAGGTGAATCATTTGCTAAAGCTGTAACTACATGATTATATTTCTTTACAAGGTTGATTTTTTTTATTTTTTTTTTACCCTCCATGTTATTCCTCCAGTTTAAAGTGAACTTCATGTTAGTCAACCTTTTTCTTTAGTTCTTGTCATACACCAAAAAAAGGACAACAAAAAGGGGAACAAATGCTTGTTCACTTCATGGTCCTTGAGTACACAGAGTATATGTTGCTTCATCAAAACCATCAGAGTAGCACCATCCTTCTAAAGTGAGGGCTGTGCATACAAACCTTGACTTTTGTGCTAGTCAGTGACTAGAAGCAAATGCAGAAATGAACATACTAAAATTCCTGGGAGTTTCAAAAACAGGCTGCTGCTTCTAATAGGGCAAGTTGATTGGCTCCTACTACTTTAGTACGGCTTACTGTATCTGATACTACCTGATCTTGAGCAGGAATGTAAGTGCTGATGAGACAGCTGTGTCAAAAACAATAAAAAAATCTGTCTCAGGGTCTGCATATATTCTCAGTTGCTCCAGTTCATTACATTGACCAATTATACCCCTTCAGATCCTTTCTTCTTGGTTCAGTAGGTGGAGCTGTAACACGTTTAAATTTTTCCTCGGCCAAGATGTACCATTGCAGGTGCACTGACAAGCACAGCTTTCGGTTCCCAGCACTGCACATATTTATCCACTTTATACAAGTTGGCATTTTGCATCATTTTGAAATTGCACATAAAGAGGAACCTCAAGTTCTATGCTTATTCTGCTAGCTGGGAAAAACCATCAGTCTCCGTTTCTAATATACACTCTTCAGATTTTGGATGGCTGTTTTCTACTGTTCAAAAAAAAAAAAAAAAACACTAAAACATGTTTAGTCTCAATTTTAATATTTTGGGCCTTGGGAAAAAATAATCTCTAACATAATAAATTTTGCTTATTTTCCTAGTTGCTGGTTTGAAACAGACTCTTTGGAACAATTGAGAATTCATGAAATCATTCTCATTAATTTTTTTCAATTTTAGGATAATATCAAATCCACTGTCAATTGTTAGTTTTCATGTTCTCAAGTAGTTTACACTTTATAGTGTCAATAAAAGCTTTTTAAATTACAGGAAGCTATTATATAAATGGACATTTCTGATAATTTTTGCAAAATTGCTCTTAAAAATCCTGTGCTACTGAAAAAAAGAAGAGCCTGGTAATGAGACTAATTCACTCTTCAAATGTAACAGCATCATTTGAACATTGTCACATCATCTCAAATCATTCTTAATTCTAAAAACTCTTTCCCATTTCAATTTTCTGTGGAAAGTTCTCTGTAAAAGCAATGAGAGTATCCAAATTAATTTTAAAGATCACAAAATTGCTATTTCTTTTTAGAGAAGAGCTGTCTTGTACTGATCTCTTGTATGCAAAATTATCTTAATGGTATCTTCTTTCATCTTAGTATTCTCCCTTGAGCAGTTTGAGTGCTTTCTAGTTCTCTTTAGTTGCAGCTAAATATTTCAAGCAGGCATCAGAAACATTACAGATTGTCTCCTTTGAGTTCCAAGAGCTTCTTTGATGGGGACTGGTGACATCTTTTCACAATGTACCATATAAACCAGCAGTTCCTAACCTTTGTCTTTATATTTTATTTTTCATAGGAGTTTCTAATGACCATGACTTTCTCCTTCTCTGCCTGTACTCCTACTCTCCCATCCCTTGATGCACGGCGAGGCTGCCGCAGTGAGTGTCTCCAGCCTTGGTCCTTCATCCTTGTCCTGTCCCTTGGGTATATCGTGTTTCCCGGGGCAGGTCAGAGAAACGGAGAAAGGAGGATCCATTTGCAGCTATAACACCTCTCTTGGTTAGCCTGTGTTTCCATTTCCACAGTTAAAATGCCCAGCAGAGCTCAGTATCTTGTGCTTTGCTCACAAGTTTACCCTATACATTGACATGTCTCCTTACTAAGGTATCAGCCAGAAACCACTAATACAAACAAGGACTACAAAAGAGCCAGTCTTTCATAAAATACCTGCTTTTTCCTGTTAGCTCTTGTGCAAGCTTTTTCATGGACTTTAACAGTCTGCAACTGTATATTTACATTCAGCTTGAAATACAGCTGTCTCATTTGGAAAATGTTATTATCAATACTGGTGTTATCCAAGACACTTTATTTGTCCAATCAGCTGAGTTGTCAGGTTGAATTAGCAAACCCATTTGTATGAATCACAAAACAGCTTGTGGCTGTGGTGTATTTGTTTATGATATTTGTTAGGTATGCATACTGGATAGTTTGGATGGAGACATTAAGGTTCCTTTGCTACAGTCCTATGCAATTCAAAGACAAATAAGTCATCCTTTTGAAAACAGGACTGCAGAGATGAGAAGAAACTTGTGGATTCTACACTGGCACTGGGTGGCAGACCATATTTTGAGGAACTTATTTAACGTTGCAAATAGCAGGTGCTGTGCATTGTAGACCCGTGAGTTATTGCTTTGTCAGAAGGTAAGTTAATCAAAACTATAGTAATCCGTTACACAAGCCTTAACGTATTAAGAAACATTGTATGTGCTTGTAATGTCTTGAACAATCTGTAAAATCCACCCTTTGAAGAAAAGGTTATAACTATTTACTCTACTCCTTCATAGGATGTATCCCTTCCTCTCAATCATCAGTAAAAAAAAGCTAATGAAGTTAAAAGGCAAAAACGCAGCTGAAGATTGATATGCAGTATCAACCTACTGGCACTATTTTACTGCATTATGTGCATTCTCATATCGCTGTTTAGTATGTGCTTGTAGTTTACAAAGGCTAGCTAAGCTTAATTGCCAATAAAATTCAATAGTGTTTTATTGTCTATCTTCACACTTTGTTCATAGTCCTCTATACTTGCAGACTTTAAGACTGTTTAAAATCAGCATCGATAGTGATGAGTGATCACTATTTAGGGATACCTTATTTTAAAAAGAATCTTACTTAGCAAGTGAGACTACAGTGATTGCTCATTGGTAAGTGCAAGAGGAGGGGAGAGAGTGGTTCAGTGTAAAGTATAAACACAAAATGAAAATTTCTAAATATATTAGTTCTAAATATATACAGTTCTGTACATTTTCAGTTAAAAATAAAAGCAAACTTTTCCATTTGATCAACTGATTTCTCCATGGCAATGGACCTGAATTTTATTAGCAGCAGTAAAAAACTGCTTTAAAAGGAGGATATTCTCCTTCCTACGAAAGCACATTTATTTCCTTCTCTCTTTCCCAATCACTTTTCTAATCCTTATAAAAAAAAAGGCCAAAACAAAACTTAAAAGTACCTCTCCTTGAAATGTGCATGTGTATATGTATATATATATGTGTGTGTGTGTGTGTGTGTATATAGACATGTATAAATTACAAATAAACTTTATTAAACTGTTGTTACTTCAGCATTACAGCTAAGAATTGAATTCCAAGCTTTCTAAAAGAGAGAATTGGAAAGCAATTACTCTCAAGTGAACCAAAATACATTTTTGTTATTCCTGCACTGTCTGGAAGCCATGAAATCCTGTCTCTGGGAGGCAGCCATCTTTTCATCTGTACCTATCCAGGCCTGCTATTCCATCTCCCTGCACTTCCCTTCTTGCTTTTGTCAAAAAGATTCAGCAGCCAGCCTGCTCCTATGGAATATGTTGGGTTTGTTGAACAAGTATTTTCTGTTCGTTGCAGAATGCATTATTTGCTACTCTTCCTGCACCTCTAGGTCTGCAACCAAACTGTATGTTGTCACTTGAAATGGAGTTACTGTGAGACGCCTTGTAACATGAGTGGGTGAATATACTGCTGACTCCAAAAAACCTCTGAGTAATTTTTGTTAGGGTTGTGCATGTGGCTGAGGCTCGGAGGGTGATCCACAGGGGCTGGAGCCAGGTTCAGCATCAGGCAGCTCACACTGACAGGTGCCTCCAGGCACTTTAGCCAGTGCTCTTGGTTGCTGTGCATACCCAGAGGTCAAAAAGCACTCAACATCTCACAGATGCGAGACTAACGATTTTTAAATCTAATATGGCCAAGATTTCATGCCAATTATCAAATGAATGTTCCTATTTCCTCTAAAGATGTGTTTTATAATACTCTCAGCTACACTTTGACTACTTCGTGCAGGCTGTCTCAGTGAACAAGCTGTAAAAGAAGTTAAGTGCCAGTTAAAGCGCTGCGAAGAACCTCTTTTGCATGAATCAGTGAGGCATTGTAGCGTACATAATATCACTTGTACAAATTCTGAATTGTTGCCTTTCGTTTCCAATATGCTACAGCAACACCTGGTTTATAGGACCCTGGCCATTCCTGTGGAAAATCAACAATGGCATACTTTTGGAAAAACATTCTGTTTATTTTTAGTGTAATTGTTCCATACCATATTAAGAACAAGCTGAATGAAAGGTTCTTGACAATTACCCCACTGGCACCTCTAAAGATCAACCGAATAGTTTGCTGTTAATTACATATTTACCATTAACCAAGGTGGAGGTATTTAGTAGCTTTGGGATCAAATTCTGTCAATCCTCCAAGAAAAGATTTTAAGCAACTGAGCTGATTATACTTTCCTAAGTTTACATCCACTGCATTTTTTGTATTTCCTTATGTTTAAATGAGTTGTATCGTGGGAGACAACAAATAAACGGGTTTTTTTCCACTTACTTCTTTCTACCGTCTCCTGTCTCTGCGTGCACACAGATTTGAATTCTCTCTGCAATTTCTCTAGGGGGTGATAACAGCAAGGCTTTTTCCCTCTGCAAATGTATGTGACTTTGCTGAGTTAATGAAAACATGGAAGAGGAGGACCAGCAGTAGACACAGGTAGGTAAATGATTGCTAACCATTGAACCTAAATTACTTTCTAAATTATATTTTCAACAGTGTTCACACTTGGTAGTATTTGGAAGGAGTCTGCCATTTCTAACTATGTTTATTTTATATTTACTTGTCAAAGTCATTGGTTTTATTTCTTCTTTTTTTTTTTTTCTCATTTTCTCATCTTACAGGACTGGTTTTGCTTTTTATTTTGTCTCTGTAGACACTAAATTCATTCAAGAGCCCAGCATCAGTGAATGCTGCTGCTGCTTTCAGCTTCATCTCCTCCACTGAAAGGTGGAAGCAAAGGCTTGTCAGCCTTTTAAACTTACTTTGATTCAGTTTCCAGTGTGCAAACATTAAGTAGAAGCACCAAGTCAGCTTTCAGAATAAGACTTAGCTTTGCAAGCAGCATGAGAGCCAGACCATTTTCTCTTTTACAGGAGGATGTAACTTGCTCTGTTTTACCTCATGCAATATTATTTTCCTTTTCCTTCCCTTGACAAAATAGACTGCTCAAGCTGTACTACTATCGGTGTATGAAAATGCAGAAGAAATGTGTCAGGAGCTTGAAGAGAAATAAAAACATGATGCAAAATATGAAAAGATTGGTTCCTTCATCTAAGGGACAGGAAAAAAATGCTCTGGGATAATTGTAATGCATAAATGAAAACAATATCTAAAATGCTGGTTCCCTTTGTTAGAAATGTTGAAGGAAAATTTCCTCCGTGCCTGGGCGATTAAATCAAAGCTGTGTCAAAGTAGGTGTTCTGGAGCCCCTGTGTGCAACTGAGCCACTCAGGACAGCAAGGGTGGAACACACAAGGCTGCTGGTAGTCTATAAAACCATGGGGTTTTGAGCGGAATATTCTGCTGTTAGACTCCAGGTAGTATTTTCCTGTACTAGTTTCTGGGTGCAACCTGGATTTGCTTCTTTGCAACTTTCTGTTGAAACAGTTTGACTCGTAATCCCTAATCTTAGGAATACTTACACTCATTTAGTGTATTCTTTCGGAAAATGTGAAGGAAACAGAGAGCCTGGATTGTCTTCCCTGGACAGATCATATTCAGAGTAGATCTCGGATATCCTTGGGAATACCAGATGAGGATACCAGTATTCTGTAGATGCACTCAGCCTGTTTATCTCCTCCTAAGCCCAGCTGTGACTTTCTATTCTCTGGAAGAAAGACTGAAATCAAAAGCTACCTCAGTTATCTGTTAAAGACTTCAATTATCCTCTGTTTCAACCAAGTGCTTTGACTTTTCATCTTCAAGATTGCAGTAGAAATTTCTTTTGTGGATCATATTCTCTCTATCTGTTACCAGTATGCAGAAGCCGCTGACTTTTTTTTGTTATCAGAGAGGGTAGGTCTGTAATTTGTTTCTTGGTTTCGCTCTTATTTTCTCTCTCACATTTACAGTCATTCAATGTCAATGAAAAAATTCTTTTCAAATAGAGCTTGGCAATGGCCATTAAACTGGAAGTATCTAAAGTACTTAAAAAAAATTTTAAAAACTAGTCTGTTCATTTTTCACTATCTAGAAAGTTAAGAAAGTCAAAGACGTGCTATCAAATATTTGTGGAATAAATGTAGAGAACAGGATTTAGGGTGGATATTTAATTTATAACAACAGCTGTGTGATCAGAATGCATGAAAAATTACAAGCCAAAAAGAAGGCACAATCTTAGAAAGTATTTATTTTTTCTTTTTTTAATAATTAGACCTTGCTCAAAAACTTATTTGTGCTTTTCCAGGAAACAGCAATTTTTGTTGGTGATAGGACACTTTCTAACATTTGAGATATCTAAAATTTTATGCCAAGAGACCTAAAAAGGAAATAACTTGGTCTTGCTTTTTTCCAAGTCATCCTGCCTGCAAAATGTTTACTCTTGATTTTGTTATTTTGAGTTAGGGTTTTTGCCTAGGCAAGCTAAAAGCAGAGATAACATCTCTGTTACTTTTCCAGACTCCAAAGGCTCTTCCCTTCTCCCCTCTGCAACACATTTTCAGGTTCTTGCCTTATTCACTGCTCCAAGTGCTTTGGGTTTCAGCTAATTTTCTTCAGATTCGTAGCTGGTGTAATAGTTGTGAGGGCTGTGCCTTTAGAATTAATGTGGACAACTCAAACTAAGCAGACTTTTACTGGGAATTAAGCCCCTTGGTGGCATCCACTCAATATATTCAGGTTGAACATTGGAAGGGCACAGTGATAATCAAGTCTCAACCACTTGGCCCAGATGAACAGGGTTTCCTTGATTCTTATTTTTATTGTTTTATTGGGCTTTTTCTCTCTAGATGTTATTGCTAATCCATTAAACATACTTGGTAAAGTAGAAGGGAAGCACAGGGAGAGAGCACAGGTCAAAAACAGTACCAGTGGCAATTTCCAGATAATTTTTCCATGCTGAGCATAAATGGTAACCAGAGAACTGATGTGCTTGCTGTGCAGCTGTCACCTTGTCTGGGAATATACGCAGGGACAAAGACCAGTAAATGCCCTGACACCTCTTAAGAGGCATATTTTGTGTAGAAGGATATTAGCAATTCAAAAGCTAAACGGGGATCTAAGCAAGGTCATTGGCTGGTCAGACAGTTTATTTTTGACCTAAGCAGTGTTTAATTTAAGAAGCAGAAGCACTGGGATAAGTAGGTACAAACCTAAAAGGGCAGCTGGCTGCTGGGTGATGTTGAAGCTGAGTCATCCTAAAGGGCAGCCCATTTGTACTCTCACTCAAGAGAAAAGAAAGGTGAAGACCAGAATGATAGATAGGATGCCCTCCCCAACCCTATAATGCTTAGTGTCAGTGAACTCAAGCCATTTCTGTGCCAATAGGAAGGAAAGAAAAAAAGGAAAGGCAAATAGAGAAAGATATAAATTTTAAATAAAACCTGCCTATGTATACATGCAAATTTAGCTGAAACCCTTGGTGTGTCCAACTAAAAGCAATGTTTTAAAAATTGTAATCTGTTTTCTGTAAAATTTCTTAATTCCAGTATGTGTTACAAATATATGCAGTGTGAATAAAATCGGAGTTGTCTCGTAACATCTCAGGAGGGAAACTAATGAACAATCTTAGTATAGCTTTCTTATAAATAAAACATGCTACTCTGTTTTGTTTAGGGTTTAAGTCCTCAGCTCTGTGCTAGTGGCTGGAATAATTAGGTTCTGTTTTGAAGGTCATGATTTTTTTTTTTAATGTAAACATGAATTTGTCACTTTGGAAAAGAAACTTTCTTCTGTTTTAGCGAATATTTTTTTCCATGGTTTGAACCTCTTGGATATCCCTGCTCTGTTTCTTGTCAAGTCTAGTTTCCTCATCCTACACTAGCATCAAAAGTGTGCTTTTGGGGAGGAGCTTTTGTCTGCCTCAGAAGAGTTGCTGTCTTTTCTATTTCAGCTTAGGTTTCCCTGATAGCCCTCCCTCTTCTACCGTAGGCACAGAGGTGCTGTTGCAATACTTAAAAGCAGTATCTAATAGATCAGGTGTGACAGAACTTCCCTAAACCTCTGTAAAAAGCTTTTTGCCCAATTCCCTCCTGAAAATCACTGAAGTGGTGTTTGACAGATTTGTGTAGCTATAAAAACTCTCAATTGCTATTATTACACAAGTCTCTGAAAATATATTGATAGGCTTACGTCTCCATATTTCTGATTCCACCCACTAAACAGAGCCCAGGCTATATCTCTGGCTGACTATCTTTCTCCTTTTTGTACAGATTCATCTGTTAGTTTGACTCTGGAAAAAAAAAACTGTCATTGCCTTGGCCTCAACACTAGCTGGGGAAAAAAGGGGGAAGGAATAAAATACTTCCAGTGCTCCAGTGTTTGAACCACAAAAGCTGAAGTGGGTACCTGCTTACTTCATCACTCATTTTTGAAAATGGGGAGTCACCCAAGCATGAACTGAAGCAAGCAGGTAATCTGTTGTATGAAGGGAGATGTAAGTTTGATTTCTGATAGTATTTTGTGCAACTTTCCTTCTCTTTCTCCTTCCGTTGGCCTCTTTTTGCTGTGGTGTTTAATTTAACAGTGGTTAGACATAAACAAACCACTTGTTCTGAGTCGGTGAGCTCAGGTCTTTGGGATCCTGTGAAGCCTGTGTTCTTGTGCAGTGCATGAGAACCAGCTTCTGGTGACTTCTCCACAACCCTGAACTGCTCTGAGAGACTGGACACCTGGGCCAAGCACACACTCTGATATCAAAGACAGAAATGTGGAGCGCACAAGAAGGTGTTGCTGATCCTTTTAGGCTGCAAATACCTATGGGAGGAGTACTATGGCTTGTTTGGTTGTTGTTTATAGGATTTAGAAAACTAGTGATAGTTTCTGAGTTGCATGGATCACCTCAAAGGTAATTTGGGTCTGGCAAAGGATAAAAGTAAGCAAAAGTCCCTATTTCTAAAGATGCACTGAGGATCACAGCTAACCTGGTCAGATGTGAGAGGCAGAATGTGAGAATGTTTTAAGAGGAGATGGGCTGGATCAGGTTAATGAGCCACTGGGTCTGCATTCACAAGGAGCAAGGGTGGTAATTGCAGGGGAAGTGCGTGCTGTCATTAGCATTTTCTGCCTGTCTTCACTCCACCGTGCTGCTCAGCAGTTTGGACTTCTTGTGCTGAACCCAACTGCCTGGATCATGACATCCAGACAAGTGGGCATTCAAGTCTATTCACCTGGGATCAGAGTAGAATTTTCAGCAGCTCTCGATGAGCTTCAGACCTAGAATAAGAAAACAAGTTATATCCATGTGTGCCATCTATTCTTATCAATTTTTCCTTTACTATGTGCTCCACATGTTTCACCAAAACAAAATTGTCTCTTCATTCTTCTGTTCATTTTGTTGGGCACAATGAGAGGATGAGAAATATTTTCTGGCAGTTCATTCAGCTCTGTATTTTTTTGACAATAAGCTTCCCTTTCCCCTGTGATCTTGAGATTCTCAACAATTTATTTTCCAAACCTAAATGCTAGTGGGTAGGTTTATAAATTTTTTGAAGTTCAAATATGTAGAATTTAAGCCCTAAAATTAAGTATAAAAAGCATTTACATATTTTGAGGACTGCATTATTATTTGCTTTGATATCGACATGCCTATTAAATTGATGAGAACTCCTTAAAATTGTATTTTGAATGCTTCAGTAAAGTTTTCTGGAACTTAAATGCATCTGCGTTCAGAAACCTTGCCTGGTCTGCCACTGTTTTTCATCATAGGAGACTAGAATATATCTAGCTTCAGGAAAAATGATTTAGTTAAAATGTAATTTGAAAGCTCCCATGGCACTGGGGACTTTTTTGGGAGCATATTTTACAAATTGATGCTAAAGTAGCT